TTTTCTTTGGACATTGGCTGCTTTTTCACTCGTTTTCAGTTCATTCTTTTTGCCTTTTAAGAGTAATGTTTGTTGTTTTTATGCTTGAATCCTTCAAGCATAAAAAAGGCTCCCAAACAAAAAGCAAGGGACCAAATTTAGCCACTTTGTTACTAACAACCTGTTGTAAAAACACTCAATTTGTTTTTAATTTCTTTAGTTGAATCTATTGAAAAAAAGCCAAAGATAGCATAGCTTGTGTCATGGTTCTGGGTCAATTTGACCCTACATTTTGAGTCTCTTGTGTTTTGGTAATATTTTGTATTATGGTTTATGTTCTGGTTCACTAGTAGTCTCTTTTAGTTCCTTGATTATTAGATTCCCTCTTGTGTCTTGTTTTTCTTGCGTTCCACTCTACGTTTCCCCCAGCCCGTCATGTCCCCCCTCGTCTGCCGTTCCTCCGCTCTGTCAAACTCGTGTGTCAGTCTTGCATTCCTTCATTTCCTATTTTATTGTGAAGGTCTTATGTTCCATGTTCGGTGTGCTTAGTTTAGCTTCCCTGGTCTCGTCATGTCTAATTTGTCTCAGCTGTGTTCCCATGTGTTTTCTGTTCCCTCGTCGTTGTACTGTGTATCTAAGCCTCTGTCTCCCTCTGTCCAGTGTTGCGTCTCCTTCATTCCCTGCTGTGTGTTCTGCCTGCCTGCTTAGTTACTTGTACATTCCAGTTTTAGTTAGTTTTGCATTGTCTGATATTCTGCAATAAATTATTATTAACTTAAAAAATGTATTATTTGCCTCCATGAGTCTGCGCTTGAGTCCTCTCTTGCCTGCTTCACACAACCAGCACATGGCAGCTTGACATACATGAAATAGTGTTTTTGGACCAACAAGGTGATTCACAGGCAGCTATTGGCTGAAAACTTGGCATATCTCAGCCTGATGAGCGGGATGTCCTTAAAATACTGAGGAAACTGGACAAAGGAAGAAGTTGCAGGCCTAGAAAACCATTACATTTATTGTAGTGTTGTTGTGTGGCATTCTTACCAGAAAACTAAAAATACCCCTAAAAAACACACAACAAAAATAGTCTCCATTAAAATTTTATTAGATTTTTTTTCTATCTAATAGAACTTTACCTTGAAATATTTGTTTTGTCGTATTGTGTCCTTATGTCATTTTATTGAGCCATATATTTTGTTCTTCTTCTATAAGCTATTTTAGGTCGTGTTTGATTTGTAGCCGCTGTAACAAACGACTTTCCTAACCTTTGAGAGTCAGTAAATAAAGTTTATCTTATCTTACTGAACAATATTGAAACTTTCATCAGACTGGCGTCCTTTAATAATACATTAATGCCTTTACAAACATCAATAAACCACCGTACAATATTTTATTATCATATTATAGGCTTGTTACACCAAATCCATCAAACACTGGTGAGAGAAACAGACTCAGGATATATTCCAAAAAACAAAACTGACCTGGATCTTGTCCAGTACTCCTGTACTGTCCATCCTGCTGGCCACGTTAACAGAGTTCCCCCAAATATCATACTGAGGTTTATGGGCTCCGATAACTCCTGCAATCACTGGGCCGTGGTTGATCCCTGAAGGTGAACAGCAGACAGAAGTTATTTCAGGGTTATCAAGACTGTCTGAGGAGGTGAGATCAGCACCATCCATGCACCCGTGTTGTCTTTCTTTAAATCATTTAGCTGTTTATAAAAATGAAAAATAAACAGACATCATGCAACTTCTGATTTGACTCTGAAAAGAACAATAAATAACCAGACTATAAATAATCTGTAACATCTGCATTATTCTTCTGCAGAGACTCACCAATCCTCAATTTAAAGCTGTTAAAAGAGTGTGTGTTGATGTTTTCTAGTTTGGCCATCAAAGCGATGGCGAACTCCACCATGGAGCGCACGTGGCTGTAGGACATGTCACATTTCTGTAGGGGGAGCCAGAGATCACAGTATTCAGTCAGAGGGAGCGTGTGCAGTTTGTTTACACTTTAAAAGTAGACCAGAAGACGGCTTTGCAAGCCTGGATTTGCAAATCCAAATTCCTTTCCTGAGTATGTCAGTCATCCTGTGTGCAACCTGCAGGTAATAACCTAAAGCTGTGACTTCAGGGTCACCAACCTTTCTTTCATCCCCCGGAGCCAACTGTGTCAGCCCTGCAGCGGCCATGTAGGTGCTGCCGATGGTCTTAATCTTCTCCACCGAGGAGAACTTGGGCTTTGAAAGAAGCTGCGTGAAAGAGACACAAAGAGGAAGAGAGAGTGAGAAAGAGGCAGAAAAGACAAAACGTTCCAGCAGGCTGGTGCTGACAGCAGCAGGACTTCACACCGTCAGCTTCCTCATACCTCATCGAAGTCTGATATGATTTCGTTGAGGAATCGCAAACACTCCAGGCCGTCTTTGTTTTCGCTCGTCTCGTTGTAAAACTCCTTGAACTGAGGCACCGATGCAAACATCACGCACACGCAGTCATATGACTGACTGTACAGGTCCTGAAAGGATGTAAAATAAAATTATGATTAAAAAAATAATTCCAGCATAAGCCTATTTTCATCCAATTTGCATGCAGGAGCCAAGTCAAACCTGTTCTGCTGCTTTTTGCACGTGAAACTCCAAAAAGGTTTCATAACTGGAAACTAGCGTGTTGGTGCCAACACTCAACTCACTCAACATCCAAAAATCATTGATTTTTTTTTCCCTCCACAGTGTTTTCAGACTAACTACTCTCAAATATGGCTGACTGAATGATTGAGGTGGTACAAATAGTAAGAAAAATATATGAAGCAGAAACTTTTTTCCCTTTATTTCCTGTCAAATATGTGCTGTTAACCAATAATTCACACGAGGTCAGAGTATGTACAAGTAAAGGCCATGAGAATTAAAACCACTCTAAGCACTGTTTTTGAGATTGGCGCCTACTCTTTCACTGTATGATGTCAAACAGAGTGGACATCCGTAATATGGCCATCTCAGCCAAGAATGCCCATCGTTCACAAACCTTCTGTTTGCAGGGGACAGCCAATCAGAAGAAAACTGGCTTAAAGGCAGAGATAAAGCAGCTTGTCTTTGATAGAGGATGAACTGAGGAGCTGCACCAAAGCCCGATAAAAGACAAATATAGGGGTGTGCAACCGACTAGATTTAAACCTAAATTCTCTTTTTTGGCTTTCAAATAAAGTTTTTTTTCCCCATCAATCCATCCGTCTTCTGTCATTTATCCAATTCAGGGCTGCAGGTGGGTGGCCGAAGCCTATCCAAGCTTCCACAGGGTGAGAGGAAGGGTACATCCTGAACAAGTCACCAATCTGTCACAGAGCTAACACAGAGGGAAAAACATGCAAGCTCCACACATAGAAAGACCAGATGGTGGATTTAAACCCAGGACCTTCTTGCTGTGTGGCTAAATCGCTAACCACTGTACCACCGTGCCGGTTTGTTAAAAATATTCCTTAAATCTATGTTCAATTGTGCCAAATAATCAAACAGGATAACTGATTTTTGCCTCAATCGAGCAGTTCTTGATAAATAAGAATTATTTTGAACTGTGAATCATGCAAAGCTCCAAGGACAAAAATGTGGTGCTGCAAATCCTCCTTACACGCCCACTTTCATATTTCCTCATTAAATTCCTCAGAATGTCACACAGTGGAAGATAAATATGAAAATCAGGCTTGTTTCCAACTGGATCTGTATTGAACAGATAAAGGACAGAAGCTGTGCACCTTGGGAATGTCTTACTTACCTGGTTATTGATGTTTTTGCCCACGAAGAAAGAGGCGACGTGGAGTGGCAAGACGTTCTGCAGGAGGAGCTTGTTGACGTTCTCCATGGTCTCCATCTCATCTCTCTCGGTCTTGAAGCAGCGCTCCAGCAGGAAATCTACACGGCAGCTCAGCTCATCCTGAGAGAGAAGCGAAGAAGCATTGGTTTAAACCCGGATGTGACATGCACGGCATTTCCTTTGTTAAAGAACTTCTTGCACACGGACACACACAAACACACACACTCACCTGTCTGGCCAGTATGATGCATACAATGTAAAAGATGGACAGCCAAATCCCAGACATGATTTGAGGGTCCTTCAGGACTCCGGGCCTGTGGAAAATCCCATGCATGTTATTATATGTAGAACCGTGCAGGCTTCTAACATGTTTCCATTACATATGTTCAAAGACCAGTGTCTTGTATCACACACAGCCGATGCGGCCGGCGCCCCCAGGCGAGCCTCAGTCTATAGAAAGCCGATGAATAAGTAATGCTGATGTGAAACTCCAGACCAGGATTCACAATCTGGACTCTCAGAGGTAGACAAAGAGTAGGAAATCCAACACTTTGGCTTGGCAAAGCACACTATGGCCCAGTTCCACCTCATCTCCTACACCCTCTCCCTGCACACTTTTACTTCCTGTGGAGGCTCGTCCACATTCAGTGCTGTTCTAAAACAAATAGCTTAAAGCTGAAGTGGATAATTAAGACCCCAACTATTAAAGATTAGCAGCACACCTCTAAAGTGGAGCGGCTGATTTGTGTCCGATCATTTATAAACCAAAATCCTGGTGATGTGTTTACCTTTTTTTTTTCCAAAAAGGTCATGCTTCTCAACTGGAAAAGGGTGGAGGACTTAGGCTACGTCCACACTAATGGGTTTTCATTTGAAAACGCATCGTTCTCTCTCAGTTTTGGCCTCCCGTCCACATTGACATCGAGCATTTCGAAAACGCTCACGAAAACACATACATTTGAAAACGGAGCTGTCCCGTCGCAGTGCGGACACTCGAAAATGGAAACTTTCTAAAACGATGACGCATTTTAGTCATGTGATGCCGTCATGTGACCAATTAAACAAAGATAGCGGAGGGCATTATACAGCAGTTGTTTTGATTGCTCTCAATTTTGACAGCCCTAAAAAAGATTAACATCAGTTTGTACATGCTCCGGATAGCTTTTCAAACTCTTTAATTCTCACTCGCTTTTGCGCATGCGCTGTACTGGAACGTAAACGTTTTCAGTTGTTTCAATGTGGACGCACAACTCAAATCTATCCGGGCGAGTGTGGACGTAGCCCCAGAGTTAGGAGCTCAGGGGCTCAGAGTAGACCCAATACTCCACATAAAAGGAGGCAGTTGAGGTGGTTCAGGTATTTGACTGGGATGCTTCCTAGATGAAGTGTTTTGTTTGTAGATTACATCTGTCAGCCAGCTTGAGAACACCAGGGTGTCACACTAGATAAACTGAGACTAGAGGAGGCAGCCTGGGGGTTGAGGGAGGTCTGGGCTTGTCTGCTTAGACTATTCTTATTGTGGAGGGGAGGGTGGTGGTGGTGGTGGGGCTGGGGGGTGTTAGTAAAATACTGTTACACTTTTCTTTCATTTTTGGCTTTTTAAAAAGACACATGAAAACACATGTAGATATTAGTTGCAGCTTTATTTATCATGAAAAGTTTAACATAAGAGGAAAAGTTCTGTCTTTAAAATCACATTTACAGCTTAAATTTGGTTGCCAACATTTAAAAATACTAACCACCACCCC